CTCATCAGCTCTGGAGGCTCGCCCCTGGCCTCCTCCTCATCTCCCTCACGGGCTGTCTCTCGTTGAGCTCTCCTGCTCCCGTGGTTGCAGTTCTCACCTCTCAGTAGAAAGAACTCACGGTAGGCGTCCCCGGTTCGTCTCGCCTCCGACCTCCACACCCACTGTCCACTCGCTCCTCGGTATTGCCCTCTGTTTCTAAGAGCACCTCAAGCTCACTCTGTCCAAAGCCGCTCGAGGTCTTCTCCCTGGCCTGGCTGGTCATTTCCAGTGTCGCCTCTCAGGCCCGTCCCAGGACTCAGCCTGGTGGGCGCATCTCTCCCGGCCTGTGCTCACGCGGGAGGCAGCACGCTGTCACTGCCCAGCTGTCACACCTGCAGACTTGCGTTCTCCCGCCCCAGTCTCAGCTCACGGCAGCAGTTCCCGGATCTGGGCCATGCACATCTGCCTGCTGTCCCCTTCCTGCCTTATCCACTCTTAACCCAGGGGGCAGAGGGCTTTTTTAGAGAGTTTTGCTCACCAGAGACATACAGAGAGTCAGAGAGCAAGACACCACCCCCAAGGGGGGATGGCCATGCCACAGTCCCTTCTCCATTCTCTTCTCAGGATTTTGGGCATGCACGCATACACACCTGGAGTGAGTTTTAAGCCACCAGGTCTGGGATTCGAACCACACTCAACTACGTGGGAGTCCAAGTGATATAACCATTATGCATCTGCTAGTTCCTGGTCCTCTGCTTTTTTCCTCTTATGTCTTCTCCTTGCTGTCAGCATAAAAGGCGAAATTCTTATCATCGCCCAGAGCTCCTCGTGGTTTGGGCTCTGCCTGCTCCTTAGCAGCTCACTGCCTCTCCCCACCTCTGCTCTAGGCTCTCTGGTTTTTGTTCAGTCCCAAGCACCTCCCACGCCCTCTCCCCTTAGGAGACCTCTGGGCACCTCCCACACCGTCTGCCCCAGGAGACCTTCCTGCACCTCCACGCCCTCTCCCCCACAGGACCTCTGTGCACCTCTTTCATCCTCTGCCCAGGGGACCTTTAGTAACGGTTCAGCTCAGAGCTCACTTCCTCTGCTTCGTCAGGTGTGGTCCCTCTCTCCTCGGCCCTCTGGACCATGCAGCTCGCCTGGTGTGTCTGGTAGTTGTGCTTCAGGGTCTTGTCTTCTCCTTGGCACCATCAGCTTCAACAGTGGAAGCCTTCTCTCTTGTTCTTGTTCGGCGTGTTTGTGCAGCGAAGGCACCAGTTACGTAGTCTGAGGAGGATACACGGACTCCTGGACAGGCGATCTGTTAGGCACAGCCTGCCCCGTAGTGACCACAGTTTCTGCTTATCACCATGTCACCGTACGTGTGTTCTGTCCTCCCTGCTTGATTCCAGGGACTTGTCTGCTTCATGTTCACGTGTCCCCTGGACCCCCGTGACTGAAGTGGACGTCCTACAAAGGAAATACTAGTTGACAGAATGAAATGGCAGCAACTCCTTTAAACAAGGCATTCTCCCATATTCGAAACTTTTAGGAAAAGATTAATCCACTTTGGATGTCAGGATTTTTACCAGTTCTTGGGACTCTTGATAAATCAGTTACTGACAAGATAGCTTAGTTTGACGGCCTAAAGCTGCGTAGAAAAATCGTCATCTTCCCTTGGCAGCGACAGACTTCCTCCTCTTGAAAGACGCGTCTGGCTTGTATGTTTCTCCCTACGTTGACACTATCTGCAAAACTTCTGCTAACTGTGGCAATACAAATATTCATGCCAGATCTATAAAGCTTGCTCCTAGAAGCTAAATTACTTGTTGTTTATTCCCATCCAAAACTCCTTGGATAGTAATTGATTTAAATTTGATCCAGTGTTTCTATAATCCCATGTTAGTTAAATTTTTCTTTTACTCAACTATAGATTCTAGCGCACTTGAGTCAATACTTTCTTTTAAATAAAAAATGAACTAGAGAAAAGAAAATATATTTTAATGCCTAGTGAAATTGATTAAAAAGACATTTGATTCAGAAATGGTATATACCATGTAACTTAAATTTTCTAGAAAGTGTTTTTAATTCAACTCCTGTTCTGATGTCTAAAATATTGATGGTTCAAAGTGGGAAGATGCTCCCTGTGTAGAGGAGGGTTTTACAGCATGCCATGCACCTGCCAGAGCCTCATGGCAATGACCTGGGCTGAGTACACAGAAGTGGCTCCTGTGCCCCACGTCCTCTGCAGGACGTCAGTGAGAACAGGACTTGCAGGGACCGTCTTGGGGAGAGACACAGACACCCGTGGAGGACGGTGGCCGTGCGAGGGTGACCACCTTCCATGCTGACAGTCCTTGAGGGCCAGCAAAGGTGGAAAGGGGACTTGTCTCTTTTGCTTTGAGAAGAATTGGAAGCTATGGCAGTGCTCAAGTGGAATTTGACCTCTTCCTTCTGGATATCAGTTCTTTAGATAAAAAGAGAAAAAGTGAGAAATCAGATTTAAAATGTAAACCCTGTAGAGATCAGGGAAGTGGTGGCATGAACGAGGTGAGCCAGGTTTAATGGTAGATGTGCAGCTCGGTGCCCAGGAGGGGTGTGGTGAACTCAGGATGCACTGCACTGGGAAGCACAGCTCAGCACCAGCTCTGTTTGCAGATGCATGTTCCAGCCCTGTGACACTTGAATTTCCATTTTCCTGGGGGGAGGGGTTAAATATCCAAAAATGCGTGGGGTTTTTTTTGGTGGTTTTCTCGATATAATTGTTTTTAATTTGCTTTCTTGTTTGTTTTTGTTATTTTAAGGTGGTTTATCACCTTACATATGCAAAGCTACTAAAACACGTTTATTGGCAAATTTGGCCCACAAACCACCAGCTCTGGGCTGTATGATTTTTAGCTCTAAATCTTATCAGTTAACATATCTAATATATTTACATCCATTTTTTTTTCCTGCTCTGAGTTTTTGGTTTTTGGGGGTTTTGTTTGTTTGTTTGTTTGTTTTCTTTAGGTTTTTGTTATAGGGCACGTATACATACAGGAGAGACAGAGAGAGGAGAAGTGAGAAGTCACCGCCCGCACCCTCAGGGGAGATGGTCACACCACAGTCCCTTCTCCTTCATTCTCCCCTTGGGATTTTGGGGATGCATCCACATGCGCCTGGCCTGATTTTCAAGCTACTGGGTCTGGGTCTTCAACTGCACTCAGTCATGTGAGAGTCTAGTGCTTGAACTACCATGCCACCTGCTGGCCTATCAGTGCCTTTTCACGCTACTCTTTCTTCGGTAGTATTCCTCTCTTGTTCATTATAGCATTTGCTTCTTTAGTTCATAGATTTATTTCAACAAACATTTATTAAGTTCCTGTTATGAATCAGATCAAACTGAGTAAACAAAGATGGCTTAAAACATGATCCCTTACTATTTTATCATAATCTTACAAGTTTGATGTAGATGACGTAGAAGCCTTTGATGGTAAAGGATCTGATAACTCAAGTGACATTAATAAAGGCCACCAAAGGGCCTGACAAGACATTCTGACTCATGGGATGAGGGCCAGGACCCAGTGAGGAAGATTTCAACTTGATTTGGATCAGAACACATGGGGAACTCTAATATCAGGTAGGCTGCAGAGAGAAAGCTAGAATTAACCAGTCTGTGCCTTCCAACCAGCGAGGAAGCAGAGCGTGTGTATGGTGGTAAGTTCATTACTACAAGCCTAGGGAATCCATTTACAGCTTAAGCAAATACATAAAATGTCCTATAGTGAACTGTTTTATAAACTTTGGGTTTATCATGCGACTTATAGTTAAAAGGTAACCTTTCTAGGAGCCTAATCAAAATATTACAGCCCCGCAGTTGATCGTGTTGATCTTGTTGCTGTAAGTATAAGAAAATGCATGAAATATGGAACCCAGGGTGAAGCTTGGCCCCCCTGGGCTGGGCCAGGCTCCAGCCAGGGGTGTTTGATCCTGGTGCTCCTACGGCACTGAATCTCAGCTCTTCTGTGAAGTTCTCTTTCTCATCTCATAAAGACCATCAACTGCACAGTTCTCTAATTCTTGAAGGACTCACGTCCACAACCTTGCTTCCTTTTACAAGACTTTCATCAAAGCCCCTAAGGGTCTGAATCTTATGTCTTTAACCTAAAAATAGTTAAAGGGTCAGGCTTAGACTTGTACTTTTGAGTTCCGTTTTCTCCAGCAGGTTGGGGAGGTCTTTGCCAGCCCAGGTTCACAGACCAACAAATGCAGCTGCCTCCGAGAGTCACCTGGACAGAGGCTTGCTTTCTTTTTTCTCTTCTTTCTTTCTTTTTTTTTTTTTTTAATTTTCCATTTCCAGCCCCACCTCGAGCAATTCTGATTCTGTAGATTGGGAAGTTGCAAGGGTCAGGAGAACTGGCCTGGTTTGGAAGGTCAGTACATGTATGCACATGTCATTGAGTCCAGGGTGTAGGTGATTAGTCCAGAAGTGCCCTGTGTTCTCATCCAAGTGGCCAGGAATTCTTGCAAGAGGATAACAGAACAGAGCCAGGGAGCTTTCTAAATGCTTCTTGACCTGGAATGGACTAACTGCCTGCCAGATCTGAAAAGGCAGGTGCTTTCTCTCGGTTAGAATCTTTTATCTTTTGTCACTCAGAAATGATTTTGTCAGCAATCCTGACCTAGATTATGAAGCCTTTGATCTTGGAGTACATGTAAAGTGTCTTGTTGAAAGTGCTCCCTCTCTATTCATGTTATTCCACAGGCTGCCTTCAATTTCAGCATTGTTGGAGATTATTATTTTATGTGCTTTATTTAATCTTTCCTTTAAAAAAGAATGTGGAGTGGATACATTCTCTTACAGCTTTTTCAGACCTATTATTTTTTGTCAGTATCTTAATCTCGCACGGCTGCCTTTCCGTCTGCTTCTCTCCGTGGTCTGAACTGTAACGGCATCTGTTAGCTGCCATGTGCCACCCATTCTTCCCCAGCACCTTTCTGTCCAGTGCTCATCTGACCTTCGGAATTTTAAGCTCCATACCTCTATAAATCCTGTCCTTTCACGTAAGTAAGTAGCCTAACCTATTATTTGACCAAAAGGATACAAAGTCAAAGATACCAGTAAAATAGTCATTAAAAAAAAAAAATAAGATACAGGGGCCAGCAGGTGGCATGGTGGTTAAGACGCTGGACTCCCCTGGAGCCAACCACGGTTCACGTCCTGGACCTGGCAGCTTGAAACTCACACTGGGTGCATATGCATGCATGCCCAAAATCCCGAGAGAAGAAAGGAGAAGGGATTGTGGAGTGCCACTCCCCCACCCCCAAGGATGATTTCTTGCTTTCTTTCTCTCCATCTCTCTCTGTCTCTCCAGTGAGCACATGTACCCTATAGCAAAAGTCTCTCAAAATAAATAAATAAGATACAAAATTAAATTTGCTTCAAATGTAGGCAGTGATCAAAAGATCTTTATACATAAGTTATTTTCTCTTCTCAGTTTTTCCTTGTGTCTGTTTTCACTCCTTAGGCAGTATTGGTTAAGGGTCTACTTAGTCATGAATTAATAAGTGTGTCTGTCATCTGCTACACGTGTATCCTCAACCCTGGTGAATTACTTGATGTTTGAACATATAGAAATGTTGCCTGACAAGTACACATTGTAGCAAAGACTAAAAAGTATTTTTAAATTATATTGAGTAGTCGTGTACTGTATAAATGTGTGATAATTACCCAGTCACATCTATAATAGTTCCTGTTTTTGGAGTAAGATAGCATTGGCAATGATTTGCCAAGTTTAAAGAAAACAGATGATCAAGATAATGCTGCCTATACTATTTCTATTTTAGAATCAAATTTATTTTGAGAGTTCCTTTTTTCTCTTAATCCTACCATTAGGTAACGTTTCATTCCTATCATTTGGTAACATCTATGGAATATAGCTTTGGGTCAGTGCATGCTTTTATGGCCTTATCAGTGGGTAAATGAAACCCTAAGAATGTTGTTACAATGTGAGAGAAGGGAGATTTGATGATGTAAAATATAGGAACGCCCCAAGCCTTCTGCCTTGAGAAATTTATGTTCGGTTGAATGTTTCCCAAGAAAAATATTAGGCCCCATGGTCTAGGGGTTAAGGAGCCAGATCCTACATGGTTGACTGAAGCTTGCATAAAAAACATCCGGGGATGTGTGGGTACAGACCCCGAATCCCAACAGGGTGGAGAAATGGAGGAGAATGTGTTGTGTGACCACGCCCCCTGGTGGCGTGCTTTCTCCCTCTTCTTTTTCTCTAGTGAGTACATGGACCCTCTGGCAATTAAAAAAAAAAAAAACACAGGAGAGGGAAGATCCTCTGGCAATTAAAAAAAAAAAAAAACAGGAGAGGGAGGGGGGTAAAATGTTTCTGGGAAATCTTTTCAGTATTTTTAATGTTAAGTCAACAGAAGCGCTATTTTACATATACAAGTTAGGTGGACACTCTTCCTTTTTTGTGTGTTGTTGACAACCGAACTTGATAGTATATCAAGTTCACTGTATATTTGCTAAAACTGTTCACTTGTAAACTATAATGAAATCAAGGTACTCATGTTTTTACACGTAAACCTGTGACGTCGTCCAGTTGGTACGATGAGAACTGTAAGTATGACACTTAGGTATTTTTGGTTTCTTTTGGACAGGAAGAAGAAAAACATGCTGTCAGTTACCCTTCCCTCCTTAGCCATACAGCTTCATCCTTCTTAAATCATCCCGTCTTCCCAATGACAGAGAAGTTCTCCTTACCCACCCTGGAGCTTCTGGGCGAATTCTCTCCGTTACTATCATCTTTGCCTTGTGACATGCATCTGGTTAATCTGAGGACGATAGAGTCAAAGGTATGTCCCAGAATATATCTGAAAAAATTACTTCTTTTAGTATACTTGGTTTAAGGGGATACGGAGAAGAAGAAAATGCCGTAGATTTCGTGGTGTCCTGAGGAGGGCTTCATCTTTAGCTGAAATCATCCCGCCTCTCACTGGACTATTGCTGTGTAGTTCAGAGCCTTTCTGCCTCTGACTCTCGGAGAAGTTCCGTGTGGAGAGCAGATCGTGAAGCATCTTCATCTTTTACAGAGAGGGAAGTCAGTGCTGGCCTGAGGTCACATGATGGGTGGGATGGGGAAGGACTGGCCTTAAGATTGCCCGACTGATGTTTTCCATTTATTTTCCCTCGTTGGCCTGTGTCTCTCGACAGTTAGAGAAATGGAAAGTTATTTCATTAAACGGAGGCTTTGTTTTTTTATATCATGCTTTTGAAAATAATCATAACTCAAACCTTGGTATTGAGAAGCCAACATTTTAAGAGAAATATTGAAAAGCAAGCACGAGCGAGTTGTATTAGGTGTGAAATTTAAGTCGGTGAGACTGAATTCGTTTAGTTTACATATATGCCCATTTTTAAATCCAAAGACACAGCATTGGCAAAGAATAAAAACTAGATATTGGACGTCAGCCTTATGTGGAGCTGGTTCCTACCGTGAATTGACACACTTGCAGCTGGGGTGGTTATCGGTTCTCGGGGAGATACCTCATCGTAAAGGACCTGTGCATGGGAAGAAGGGAGTGCTTATGTTAAAGACAGTGTGGAGGAGAGAGACGTTCTATAGAAGAAAAGAGGGCAACAGCAATCTAAGTACACTGAGGATAAATACCTACGATTTGGACATTTGGGGATTTACAAATGCAATGTTACGGTAAAGAACGCATAGCGGGAACCAGCAGTTAGCGTAATGGCTATGTCGCTGGACTCCCACGTAGTCGACCGCGGTTCGTGTCCCGGACCCGGTGGCTTAAAACTCACGCCGGGCGCGTGTGCGTGCGTGCCCAAGATCCCGAGAGGAGAATGGAGGAGAAGGGATTGTGGCATGACCATCCCCCCTGGGGGGTGATTTCTCGCTTTCTGTCTCTATGTCCCTCTCTGTCTGTCTGGCGAGCGCACGCGCCCTACAGTGAAAATCTCTCCCCAAAAAAAAAAAAAAAGAATGCATAGCTGGCCAAGCAGGGCTTGCATATGGCTGGTAACAGAATACATGCGAATGCTTGCGGCCTGAATGCGTATTGCTCTGTGTTGGAAGGCTATTTGATCACGTGAGCGACCTCGCGGGACTTTTCTCATGCCTTCGACATACGCGTTACTGCTATGGGCGCTGGGATAACAAAATCTCCAAAAGCCCCTACCCTTCTCAAGCTTAGATTCTAGTGGGAGGAGAAACATAAGAGGAAGAAATACTAGAAAAATATCATCTGTAGGCTGTGAGAAGTGTTATGGAGAGGAAAACGGGAGGAGGGAGGGCAGATTGAAGAAGGCGCTGCGTGCCTGATTAGGGAGGGTGGAGGGGGCACTGCAGGGATGGAGATAATGCAGTGAAACTCTGAAGGACATAGATCAACGGGGTTTCTGGGTGGAATGACCCAGACCGAGCTAGAGAGAAGCATCACGACCCTGAAGAGGAGTGGACAGTGTCGGCTCCATGTGAGTGGGGCTTTCTTGGACTCTGGCTCTGTCCATGTCTGGAACAGTGCCAGCGTGTCCTAAGGACATCGTGACTTGAGTGAATCGTGTGACTATTCCTCTGCTCTGGTCTTTTTTTGGTTCTATTTCGGCTCATGGGAACTAACAGAATAGGGCTGGGTGGACTCCTTCAGGGGTAGTGTCCTTATTTCACGGGCTAAAAGGGAACCAAACAGTAGAGTAGAGAGCATCGGAGACTCTGGGCTCAGATTCCACTCCTGGTCCAGCTGGTCGAGAACTTCGGCGGCCCGGGGAATGCAGGGGGTTCTGGGGAGGGCAGTGGCCACTTCTCTTAACCTCCTCCCACGTAGCGTTGGAAATGCGGTTGTTTTCTGGAAGCCACTCAGACTGACTGGTGAGGGAGTACAGGACTCCCCTGTGCGGCCTAAGGCCTGCCCTTGTTCCCATGGCACCTCTTTTCGGCAGAGACTCACTCCCCGCACTCTTGCTGCCATGAGCTGCCTTCCTGTCACAGGTCTAAGCACTCCCTGGTGACTCCGGCCTCCGTTCCCCACATCTGCCCGACTTCCCATTGCTCTTCTCCCCTTTGGATGGGCGAGTCACCTTCACACCCACGGATGGCATGGCGGCTCACCCAGGCCCCACTGTGAAGGGGGGCGAAGGGCAGACAGGTGCATCAGGTCTGTGGTGAGAAGCAGCCCCGCGTGAACAGAAGTGCTCTGTAAACACACGGTCCTGGCGTGCTCCCGTAGCTGCCAGCCCAGGCCGGAACTGGGGTTTGGTAAAGAGAAGAGACTGACCCAGAGGGGTGAAGCCTGAAACATTAGTGCTGTTGGTATACACCATGCTGGTGACTCATCGGAACTGAGTGCTGGGGGCTGCTTTGCACTTTAATATCAGCTGGTGCCGGTTCCTAAGTTACTCTTTGACTCTTGGCACATAATGTGACGGCTGTTTAAAAGCTCACCAGTGGCCACGGGGGGTTGATTTGTCTGTTGCAAACCACTTTAAAAAATTGCTGCCTGGCCCCTAACCTTTGGTGATAGGAAGCAAGGTATTGACCAAGAAAACTATCAATTAAAGGTTGTCCACTGTAATCCCATGAAAAAGAAAGACAAGAAATGATGTAATGAATCAGCCCGGAAGCTAGTGTTGGCCGTGTGAGGTTGTGTCCTCGATCCTGTGTGCTGGCAGCTTCCAGCATGCGGTAATGGTGGTTCTTTTGAAGATCGCACCTGCATTTCCTCCTTGAAGTCATGTCAGCACCGAGAGCGGGTTCCCAGCAAGGCCGGAGGCCTGCAGCAGCCTGCCTCAGAGTAGGCGTTTTCCTAAACGAAGTGTGCCTGAGGACCACCTTGGCATGCTGAGGGCATGTCTCTTCCTGCCTGACCCCCTCCATTCCAGCCTGTCTCCCCCCCAGGCTGCTAGCTGAAGATTCCTCAGTTCCAATCCTTACTTGGTCTTCCTGCATCCTCCGAGGGAAAAAGGCAATGAGGTCGCAGGGGGTGGGAGGTGAGGAGGCTGAAGATGTGACAGCCACACGGGGGTTTGGTGGTTCCTGCTACCAGTCCTCAGATCCTCCGATTCATGGTCTCTGGACCACCCCAGGGAGACTCCACCAATAGAGACTTTCACACATTCTCTGACTCTGAGCTCCTACTTCTGTAGGTCTGGGAAGGCAGGCCTGGGAATTGTTAATTTTTTAAAACTCTCCTTACGAAGCCAGAAATTGCCACGTAGTATCCTATACCAGGAAAGTAAGTGATAAGGAAGAAATGATTAAAATAGAACTAACCAGCAGTGAGTGGCAGGATCAGGCTCACGTCCTGGTTTTCTGGATCTAGATGCTGTACCTCGGGGTGAGCTTTGACATTTTAGTTATTAGTCTGTTCCTAAAAGTCCAGCTTGAAAAAAAAAATGTCCAGTTCGTCCAGAATTATTCCATTGCAGTAGCTAAGTGTGTGTTCAGACTGGCAATAGCTTGCTTTTCTCCTTCCCCTGTTTCTGAAAAGTGATTACATGTCATATTTTGTGATCAGTTGAGGAGGGGAAGAAGGTCCCTCCATACCCTGCCTCCCAGCATGCTGTGCAGCCCGGCCTGATCTGTACCCACCACTGTCTGGGAATTTACCCGGGAGCCTCCTCGTCCTGTAGGCTCAGGCCTCCAGCTCTCTTCTCTGGATCACTGTTCCTTGTGCGCCCACGAGCTCGCGCCATCACCTGGTAGCTTCCCTGAAGTGTGAAAACTGGCACAGGACCACCACTCAAGCACACTAACTGGGAGAGCCGTGTCATCAGGAAAGGGCAGTGATTTAGGGAGAGGGGAGTCTTCGGGGAAGGGATGCTGGGAGAATCCCGTGGGGGGACAGATGACGAGTCTGAGTTCTGAGGGCTGGCGCTTCAGCCTGGAAGAGCAGGATGAGGAGGAGCCTGCGGAAGCCATTCTGCTGGGCTTCATGGAGCCAGTCTCCCCTGATGGTTTGAAAAGTGCAATTAGCGTTCAACTCTTGTGTTTTCAAACCACTTAGAAACTTGTTTGGACTTTTTACATTTATATGTATATTTAATTTATGAATTTACATATTTTACATATTTATATATCACATTTAATTATTTTATGTGTATTTACATACCACATCCAATTATTTTGCATTCTATTTTTATATATGTATAGATAGATAGGAATCACATTCAATTCCGTATTCTCTGTGGGATCGATTTTGATTGGCGGTTAACTCTTGCAAACAGTGAACTGATCACTCCCACTTCAGCGCGACTCCTTGAGAGGTTATCCTCCCCCCACTTGTTTACACCACTCCTCCTTCGCTCATGAAAGGTGGCTTAACGTTTTTATTTGAGTCTTGTTTTCCTTGTAAGAATTGATTGGTGTTTTATTGATCTCCCTACTTTCTGGAAAGGTGAAAATTGTGGGGGGAGACATTTCCTTTGTTGTATAGATCTAAGAGCAACCATTCACCTTCCTTTTTTCTCTGTCATTTTATCTTGATCAAAACAGAATAGTTATTATTGGACTCTTTAATGAGTGCCCTGAAAAATGAATTTCAACTGATTGTTTCCTGCCTCAGACTTTGAAGGAGTTTGCAATTTCCTTACATTCCTGGCCATCAGGATGCACGAGAGCGGAGTGTTGTTAGGCTTTCTCAAAGAAGCTGAGCAGATAGGGGCTGCCTCCCGCTGTAACCTGCCTGCTCCTGAGTTCTGTGGAAGGGAAGGGCAAGGTCACGTCACCCTCGGAGAATCTGGTTAAAGGGACGACCTCTGTCCCCCCCAGAAGAACTGCGAGTGCACGTAGGGTTTACTCCGACTTCCAGAGTCGCCTAATTTCTGACCCTCGCATCACTAA